TTATAGATAACATATTATTTTTTAGCCACAAATAAATTTTTTTTATAATTCACAGATTATTCATTGATCACAGAATCAAATCTTTTATTGATCACGACTCATTTATTCATTACAAATTTTTAGATTAATTGGTCACAACTAATTTTTCAATCACAATTTAATAAATCATGAGTCGCAAACACAATTTTTAGGTCATGTATTATTTATTTATCACAATTTAATCAATTATTGATCACATTAAACCAATTAGTTGGTCACAAACACTCCACAACACTTGTGACCACCACCCTGCCACTTCTTGCAATAGCACAAATGCTACAGCCACGGTTGTCGTCACTGCCATAACTAACACCACGTCCACCTCTCAACGGCAACATCATCACCTCAAATCAACACATCGTCATGCCATATCCACCACCACCCCGATAGATCTATCGCCACCAACATCACCATACCCATCGTCACCATCTCACCACCCATAATTTCCACCACCACCGCCACCAACAGAACCACAACCACCACCATATCCAACGTAACCTCCGCCATAGTTGGATCCAACAAAGCCGTCGCCACCTAAACATAACCACCACCACCATTACAGCTCTCTCCACCAATTGAAAGCATACCCAAAAACCCACTAGATTGCGGAGTTGCAAATTCCGGGCATAGCACCATCACCATTTCCATCTCCACACCACAACAAAACACCAAAAAAATCCCCGAACTCGTTGTCATCGTCGCCGCCCCACCACCCCACCACCAAAAAATCCCCAAAATCGACATGTAGGATGGAGCTGCCGAAGTAGATCAAGCCATAAGTCATGGCTGCAGTGTGGGCGACAGGCGCACTACTGTTGCGGAGAGTTGATAACACCGGAGGGATGACGCCATCAGAGAAGTTGAATGAAAAAAGATGGACTCCAGTGGTTCTGCACACGATCATCGCAGTTAACGATCGTGTACAGTTGTGCTACTGCCGTTACAAGGCGTCGTTGGCCCGAGCTGTTGGAGAATAAAGACGATGCGACGCCAGATAGATCGGGTAGAGGGCTGTGAAGAGAGGAGAAGGGAGATGGAAAGAGAAGAAATTGATTAGGGTTTTGAAATGAAATTTGTACAATTAATATTTAATATTTAAATACAAAATATCTGATTTTTGAAAGGTTAAACTACCTATCTGATTTTAGAATACAGGATTTTAAAGGTAGGTTATTCCGTTATTGTGTAATTCTCACTTAAATTAAAGTCTACAAAGGCCCATAAAAAAAAATTCAGAGGTCCATCCTTTTTTTTTTTTCAATTCAATTATGCTTTTTAATTAAAGTTAATTGGATGGATACCAAATTGGTCACTAATTTCCCATATAAATAGAATCAAAGGTCCATAAAATTTCACAAATGAAAGTACAAAAGAAAATCATAAAGTATTGAAAAAATCACAAAGCCATAGGAAGTGAAGAAATCCTTTCAAGCATAAGTTCAGTGAATACTAAAAAGATCAAAATCTTCTGCAAATCAAGTAAGTCCAAGATAATCAAAATCTTCTTCAAATCAAATCAAATCAAATTTAAGTCTAAGTCCTGAAGTGTAGATCCAAGCCTCAAAATCCAAGTGCTGAGCAAGCCAAGTTCTTAACAAATAGAATTTTCAACAAATCTTGAAGTCTAGGATTCAAGTTACATGGCCTCTCGTCTTCAAACATTCAGATCATTAGTTAGATAATTTTGTAATTTTGCAATTACAAGAAGATTAATATTCACTTGTATTTCTCAAAAATACAATTTGTAATAATTTCTGTATTTTAATACACGAAATTCATCGTACAAATTTCTTGACAGCCTAGTGGAACCTTCTTGTCTTCTCATCTTTTGATATTAAAATATTCAAGTTTCCACCACTACATCAATAATGGCAAATGAAAAGGCAATAATAATAATAATTCGTCTTAAAGAGACCCTTGCTGAACTGTTCCATGAGACCAAGGTCCAAATAGAATTGGGAAAACTCTAGAGGTGGCAATGGCCGGCTCGGCCCTTAAACACACGAGCACGAGCCGAGCTCGTGGCTTGTAATAACGAGCTGAGCTAGCTCTGCTCGTGCTCAAGGGGTGAGCTCGGCTTGGCCCACGAGCTCAATTTTTTTTTTCTTTTTTTTTTTTTTCAAATTTTCAAACTTTTTCTTCACATTTTCGACGAGCTCGTGGGCTCATTAACTTTTGGCTCATGCGCTACGAGCTGGACAAGCTGAGCCTTGCTCGGCTTATGCTTGGACTCATCAAATTCACGAGCCGAGATTTAATGAGCCGAGCCGACGAGCTGTTTGACCCATTTGACATCCTTAGAAAACTCAATTGATCCCACTACTAAAGAAGTTTTCCACCAAAGGTAAAATGAAAATTACTTTCAAGAAACCAAACTCTCATTCGATGAAAAGCTCTCATTTTGGTTTCATCTCCATTGACAGATCCTACAAACATCACCGTATACGTCCGATTATGAAGCAGCCGAGTCTGCTCTTCCAATCTGAACCAGCACAAATTTCTCTTTGCACTACCACCAGTTTGTGAATTTTATTATTTTATTATTATTTTTTTCAACTTGACATTTTGGAGTGTGACGTGAGTACAATGTTCTGTGGTTTACACAGCTGGTTTCCTTTGCATTTTTCTCTAGCGAGGCCTTTCGTGTTACACCACCCTCTGGGGCGGAGGCCAACTTGACATACCAGCAAAATATGGACCTGCCACCTTATCATCATCACAAACCTTAAGAAATGGCTACGACAGGTCGACTTATCACTTATGTGTTATCTGCCATGTAGCAACACAGTATGCTTCGCCTTGGAACAGGGGTAAAAAGTTTCTCTTCTCCTCTCTTTCTCTAATTTCTTTCCCTTTCTACATTCTCTATTATAAATTTTCGTATATGACTATATTTATTATACATGCATACGGCATCAGTCAGATTGGATGATGCAACACTCAAGAGTTTGGAGAAGTATACTGGCATTCAACTCGAGTACGGATACGTATCTAAAAGTCGAAAAGTCCCAATTTTGGACTCCGGTATGTTGTATGTCTTTCAAACTTTAATTTTTTTCTCCAAAAATTGACATGTAAAACGTTAAATAATAATTAAGTGATAAATTGTTAAAAGATAGAACATATCACTTAAAACCAATGGGGAATTTATATTAAAATAATAAATTATTGTATAAAACATATTTTTTCAAAAATTAATATTAAGTTTAAGAATTTTTTAACATTTTTTAATAATTTATTTATGAGCCAAACAAATTCAAAAATTATAGGCCCATATTCATAGAAATAAAGCCCAATAGTATTATTAACCTAGAAACCCAATAAAAGTCCAATTATTGTCATTAACATGAGAAATGCTATTTGGCAAGGTCATTTGCACATACCCTGACCAGATTATCTCTTGTAGGGGAACCCTGGCCAAATAGCATTTCTCTATTAACGTAGAAGGTCATTGCAGAAGAACAACTAAACTTCAGAAAGGCGTAGTGCTTCTTCTCCTTCTTTGATGGCTTTCTCCATCCTTTCAGTGGCGGCGCTACGTTTATAGAAAGTGGAAAATGTGGAAGAAGAAAAGGGAAAGAAAAAAAGAAAGAAGCAGCAGGAAAAACTGTTATGTTAATTGCAAAGTTGCTCTAATACTATTGAGGAACAACACCACAAACTAAGATATGGAAATACCATCATTGGCTAGTGTAGAAAATAGTAAGTACTGGTTTGTCTAGAATTCGTGGGGTTCAACATTAGTGGGTAGAGTAATGTTCATATTAGTACCATATAAATGAAAGGCAGGGAATAAAGATAGTCGAGAGGCAGATTCCATTTCTAGGCTTCAGAAAACAATAATAACAGACAACTGATAAACCGGAAGAATTTTGGTTCACCTAGACTTCATTCAAGAATGCCACCAACCACTAGGAACACAGATGCTGACTATTCTATCAACCTACCCAAATTATTGTAGAGAATTTTTGAATAGATGATTAATTTACAACATCATCAACCCATCCTGAATTAGGAGTAGTTCACATGAACATGAACAACCTTAAGGAATTTAGCAAAAAGCCATTACAATGGTTGTAGCATCTCCAAGAGACACTATTTTTAAATAGCGTATACTATCATTTGGAAAGCATCTATAAATTTAGAAAATTAAAATTTTGAAGTATTCCAACAAGCTATTTATATTTAACACATAATTTTACCACGCTCAAAAAATATTTATTATTTTTCTCTATCTTTTATTTTAACTAGCTTTTCTCTAGATTATTTTATTATTTTTCTACATTGAAGATTGAAACACTTTGAATCTATTTAATTATAGAGAGTGAGTTTGACTCTCCAAAATCCACTCCCTAAATTAAAATGTTAATTTAAAGAGCCTTTTGGAGCATGATTTCAAGGATTGATCCTTTAAAATAGAGATCATCTCATTTTTAAAGAGGTTCTTAGATATACTTTTACACTTCCCAGCTAATCCCAAGAGGAACTTGTAATTCTCATTTTAAATCACCGAGCAAGTTTCTTGCTGGTTACAAGTACTGAAGTTTCTCGTTTCTATTCCAACTAGAAAATGAATAAGGTTGTCTTCATTTTCATCATAGGCAAAAAGGTCATGAGATGATCAATTGGACTATAAGTAAAAAAAAGAGGAAAAAAGAAGAAGGTTCTGTGCTAAATACTTTCTTTGGGAGAAAACATAAGATATCAGATATATGTTTTGAGATAAAGATATCATGTATGGGGTTGTATGAAGTTTGAAATATTGATCGGTGGTAGTCACGACTTTAAAAAAAAAAAAAAAAAATGCTGTACATAGTCATAACTCTTGCTTGAATCTTAATATATATGTATCGTAGACTCAAATCCGTGTAACAAATAGTATAATTTGTTCCATTTCTAAGATTATAATGGGAAAGAAGAGAAGTGCAAGAAATGTTCCATTAGTGCTGAGGTCAAGGATGTGCCTCCAGTAAAGCTTTAGTTTTATTTTAAAAATGGCAATACAACGTTCCAGTAATTCAACATCATGACACTTAACATGTGTACTAAAAACTGTATAGAACAAGAACAGGAAATAAGGAGTACAACACCTCATAGTTGGTTCTGGTTCAACTTCAAATGATACATGGCCTGATCATTACAGCAGTTGTGGAGGGAATTGCTCTTCAAATTCAGGTCGTGCCTAAACCAATTACGAAACTAAGATTTCAATTGTACAAATCTCTGTCTCACAACAGAGGCGAGCTCTGATTCCCCAACACTAACCAATCCCTCTACAAGCTTTTGCCTCAATCTAATGTATGGTATCAACCCTTTCTCAGTCATTCGAATAGCAAATTTTCCGGCCAAAACAAACTGCCCACATTCTAAACAACCCTCGAGCACCAACTCATAGTCCTCAAACCCCATACACACATCTTTGCTTTCTAAAAACTCGATCATCTCAACTGCTCTCCATATATCTCTGTTGGCACGCATTGCAGCCAATGCTTTCACCACAATTTGCTGCCGTGGAAGCAACCCGAGTGTTACCATCTCCTTAAGTATTTCTACAACCTCATTTATCATTCTATGCTCGCTGAATTCACCAATTATAGTGCCATAACTATCCAAATCGGGCAAGCAACCCGCCCGGCCCATGCCCTTCAAGACTTTAACTGCCTCTGTCAACTGATCAACCTTACACAGGGACAAAATAAGATAATTACAAGTCCCATAATCCGGAGAATATCCAATTGACTGCATCTCAAGCAGTATACTCGAAACAGATTCAGCTCGTTTTCGCCTTTCAAGCCATGCATTCGAAAGAAACAGATAAGTTTGCGGAACAGGAAGACAGCCAGAACGAAGTGTACGTTGGAGAATTGCAAGAGCAAGTGGAAGCGGATTTGGGCTCTCCAGAGTATATGAAAGTAGACAGGAATATGCAATCCGAGGCCGCGAACGGGGCCTTGTGCAAATGAAAGACTGTAAAATTTCATCAATGATACGGGCTCTACGGTTTTCAGGAAATTTCGATAGGAACGAAAACGGATTGGGATTTCTGAAAGAATCTTTCGCTGTACTGAGAATGTCAGGTATTTGTTCGTAAGCTTCGGCTTCAATTGCTTCTCTTAACGATACCTGGAGCTGCCTCGAAGAAGAGACAGAATGAAGTAAAGAAAACTGGAGGAAATAGCGGCGCAAAGGAATTAAAGAACAAATCTTTTTTATTGCCATCACCATCAAAGTCTATAAGCACAAATGAAAAATTCATTGAGTAATATCATCGAACAGGTGCGGGCTGGGTAATGAATTGGTGAAATCAGTTTACTGGACAACACTGAGAACTAATCAAACTTATCGATAGCGTCCTTTCTTCCTTAACACAGTAAATAAAAGAGGCAAATGATTGGTTAAAAAGACAAAAATGCAGGAAAAGAAAACCAAAAAATGGGTGAGAAGGGGAGTGGGTGAGCGAAGGGCGAGGGTAGAGGCGGGGAAGAAGAGAGCTTTATTAAACCACGAGGTATCAGTGTTAATTTTAGGGGTCAAATTTTAAGTAGAGAACATAATTCCATCTCCAACCCTTGCATCAAATATTGTATTATTTTGCAACAAATTTTGCATCAAATTAAAATTTATTTTCAATCATTACATCAAAAATTATACTAAATGAACTGTGTTTAACCATTTTCTTTCCTTTTTTATTCTTCATAATTTACTTATTTGAAATATTATTTATTTAATTATTTTATAAATACATAAACTACTAAATAAATAATTACGTTAAATTACGGAAAATGTTAAATTCATTAATAAATATAAAAAATATAGAACAATTAATAAAAATATTACAACAACGAAAATATGAAAGCATGCCATCAGAAAATAGTACAATGTATTTTGAATTTGGATAGACGATATTACGAAGTCGCTAAATTTTTGCAATTTAATTCTCAGAATTCATATGTTCATCCAACAAATGATCGATTAATGCATTTTGAAGTGCAATGTGAGTTTCTTTATTCTTGATTTGTCTATGACGAGCAAGAAATTCCTGAAAAATGTCGATTTTCGTCTTCAACCAACTCAACTTCTAGACTTGACGCTTTCGTTCATTATTGAATTGGTGCATCAATATTACGTTCGTCCTCGATAATCATGTTATGCATTATTATGCATGTAGTCATAGTATTATGTAATATTTGTTTTTTCCAAAATCTTGCGGGTCCTTTCGTTATTGCAAACTTCATTTTTCTAGAAATAAAATTAGATTATCGTATGTATGTCACTATTTAATATATTTCGTGCTAACTTTAATAAATAATCGTGTTTGATGTGTTTTAAATTTTTTTCGTCTTTTAATTAATTTATTAATTATTATGTCTTACATTTAAAATTTATTTAAAAAAATAATATTAATATTAATATTAATAAAAATAATAATAATTTATTGTATTAAAAAATATATAACACAAATGACATAAATACTCTTAACAAATTTATTTGAAAAATGTTAAATAATGGCAAAATGGACATTTTACACTTTGCACCATTTTGGTGTAAAATGGTGCAACGTTTGGTGTTGGGTTGAAGCAATTTTGCACCAAAAACTAGTGCAAAATGGTGCAATGATGTCATGATTGGAGATGCCCTAATTACCTGATCAATCTATAAATTGCTAGGTGTACATCTCATTGTGTATACAATGCATTACACCCCTCTCATATGAAGGGGAGCTCAAAAATATTTTATTGTGCATGGACCCCCTCCATGTGACAAAAGTGTAATGCATTATGTACATATAGTATTTTCCATAAATTTATAGTGGTGGTTCTAAATCTTTCAAATAAAATATAGACAGGTCTCAAGCTTTTAAATCATAGGAGATACGTTCCAAATCTTTCAAAAATGTTCAATAAAAGGAGATTTTGGAGGTTTCTATCCAAAAATTCGTTAGTTGGAAAGTCAAACATTCAATTTCACATTTAAAAAAGATAAAATGACAACTCTATATTTTCTCACCTAAAATAATTAAATAATAGAAACAGAAGAATTAAAACAAAAAAGGAAGAAGAAGATAATTTTCCATCTCGGTCCGCATCACACTTTACCACAACCAAACCAAACCCACCCCGTAACACCACCTACTCCACTATTGCACCGACCACCACCATGATTTCAATCACCATCAACCACCAACACCTAGAATCATCGTCACCACCACACCTGAGGTCTTCAAAAAGGTAGGAATGAAAGAACCAGTTTGAAGGTCCTTCTACCCCACAATTTTTAAAGGTATAGAGCGTATCTGCTATGATTCAAAGGATTGGGAACTATTTGTACTTTTTTGAAAAGATTGAGACCCCCACCGTAAATTTTCCTCCTGTTTTATTTACTTTTGTTGGTAGTATTTATGATAAAAATTGTGTTCACTATGATAATGTGGATGTCTAGCATTATTTAGACGAATCTTTTGAATCCTATTATTATCTATTCGTGATTCTTTTGTATTTGATTTTTCGTGAAGGATGTTATTCATTTTAAAGGGTCTCTGATTGAAAACATGGTTTTATTAGCAACCGTGCATTTTACAATTGAGGGTATGTTGCTCGAGAATCGGCAAGCATAAAATTTATTTTTGAGAAATTTAAAGAAACATTTGAACGGTACTTTCTTGCCATTTGATTATACCTAAAATTTCACATCTTATGGCGAGGGGCACAAATGGTAGTGGACTATCACATTGAACTTTTTCGATTAGTGTCTCGTAACGTGCTCACCATTGACTTTGAAACAATTTGATTGTATTGACCAATATATCAGTATATATAAGCCACTACAAAATGAGATCTCTAACTCTTGAAGAAAAAACCAAGGCTAAAGAAAAAAATATTACACTATAATTATATGTTTTAGTATACAATATTTAACAGGAATGAAAAACATGAAGATAAAAAATAAGTTAAAATTGTTAATCACACCGTCCAACCCGATTTGGTACCATGTATTAAACGTGCACTAACGTTAAAAGATAAATTTTATATACTTGTAACGAAGTATTGTTGGTTAAAACCATTAGGCATATACTGCTGAGGCATAAGAGCAGAACCATTGTCTATTTCTCCTCTTAGCTTATCAGTTTCTTGAAGATGATGCGAAGAATAAGAACAAGCGCAAAAATCCACCACAGAATTGCCATTGTTAGGAACATTATTTAGTGAATTATTATTAATGTTGTTGTTGTTTATTCCTGAGTCATTAAAGCTCATAAACTTGTTATTGTTCCACCCCATTAGCCCTTGTGCTGCTGCTTTATACACTATATTCCCTTGATTTTGGACTTGATGAATTTGCTGGTATTGGCTTTTGTACAACCTTAACTCCTCACAAACTCTTCTGTATTCTCCATAAGGACCAAGCACCGGATCCTTCTGCCGGCAAAAGGCTTCCCAGATGAGTGAATCTACAGCTTGTTTTCGATCTTCTTCCTTGAGATTCGTGACTATTTTCGTTACATTGCTCACACCAAAAACCTTATGCACTGCTTGGAATTCTCCGGTTTTGTCGACTGGGAAGAAGGGTGCCAATATGCACTTTTCAGTGCACTTTTTTCTTTGATGCTTGCATGATGCACATGCAGATGTGCCATTAGCCCTTTGCATCTTAAAAATCAAAAATCAAGAGATTCAAATAAAGAAGAAAGAATTGTATTTTAATGGGATTTCAATGCAAAAGATTGATGTAATAAAGGGAATATAAATAAATAAAGAAAAAATCACATGTTGTGAACACTTAATTGTTTGTAAAGAATGAAAAGAGTGCCTTTAGAAATAAGAATAAGTAGAAAACTAGTAATGAAGAAACTGTTGTATAGAGTGCATGGAAAGAAGGCCAAAATGTACAAATATAGTAATGAATTGTTTCACAAATACAAGATTTGTAGTTAAGGAATTCATTTTAATATGGGATTTTGGAAACAAGCACAGAGATGACTGTAGACATAAAAAAAAGAAAAGAAAATGGATTGAGTCCATTTCAATCATTAGTCCAATTAAATTAAATTCTACTAAAGTCCATAAACCTAAAGGCTCATCTCACTATTTAAATAAATAAACAAGTAAATAAAAATCACAATTACTCAATTATCTCTTTTAATTAAATATAACTGAGTGATTAGCAAAATTAGCACGAAGTGCTGAAGAAAATTCGAAGTCGGGGGAAGAGAAAAAATCCTCTCAAACCTAATTCCAGTGAACCCCAAGAATATCAAAATCTTCTTTGAATCAAACAAGTTCATGCCAAATTCAAGAAGATGAAAGTCTCCTTCAAATCAAATCAAATCAAATTCAAGTACAAGTCCAAGCCCTAAAATCCAAGTGCCAAACAAATCAAGTCACAACAAATCAAATTTTCAACAAATTCTTGAAAATCAGGATACAAGCCACATGACCCTTCGTCTTCAAAATAGACTTGGCACTAATGCTTCAACTATAGTCGAGATGGAGAAGTTAAATGTGTGGTAGCTAAGTCTAAACCATTCCTTGAAGAAAAATCCCATTTCACTGATGCCAAATTTTATATGGAAGATGAAGAGTGCAATTCTACAAGGTTGACTATGTCTGGATTTAAAATCAAAGAAGATACAAACGATCATGATTCGTCTATTGCTACTCAATCTCATCAACTTATCAAAGGCAAATCAAAGTTTACATCCAAAGGATTCTCTAAAGGCAAAAAACCTCAAATAGGATCAACTGATGTTGAGATATTGAGAAAAGAGTTAACTCTTCCAATACCTAGTATTCCAAAATTGCTTATGCCCCATCAACTCATAGTGGTCCCTGAGGAACGTAAATCTACATTGATAGCCTCGACATCCATTCAAAAGCTATGAATTTTCAGCTCATCCAAACGAGAAGTTGGGTACTGAAGGAGCTGTTGAATCAAAACAGACTTTTAAAGGATGTTATAATCATCAAGTTAAAAAGTTGTTTGAAAATGTTATATTTGGAAAAAGAGAGCCTCGTAAATTAGGTGATTTTGATGCTGTCCTTTTAGGAGGACGCGTCCCTTCTAATTCTAATGGAGTCTTAGTGTCCCGACCCAGGTATAGTTTGGGACATGATCCCAATCCATCAAGAAGGATTAAGGTTAAGAAGGTTTTTTCAAACCCCATCATGATTCAAATTTATGAAATTTTAAAAGAGAAATTAGAACAGTCGAGACCTTCACTGTTCGATCAATTGAAAATGAGAATGCTAGAGTTTCGGTATTTATAAGGTTAAAAGAAGAACCCACTCCAATGGTTGACATAAAAGGTAAAGTCTCTATCTTCCAAATGTTAAGAAAAGATCATTCTTCTTCTACCCAAATTGATAGGAATGCACAAGCTCCCGAGATGTCATCCCAAAGACAATCTGTTTTTTCTCGACTTGGAATTAAAACTTCTGATCCGAGTCCAAACCTCAACGGTTAAGAAGAAGACAAAGACGTCAAAAATTTCGCCCAACCCTAATGGATAATGAAGTTAAGGAAAAAGTCTCTGTCAATCACATAGCTTTTGAAGAAGCTCTCGACTCAGAATATGAGTCCAAAAGTTCTGCCATAACTAATGAGCCCGAACTAGCACCCACCTACATTTGAAGAAGGGGGATAAGCTGTTGTGGATGATTTGAAACAATTGAACTTAGGGACCAAAGAATCCCCTAGACCAGTATTTGTGAATGCCCTTCTCAATCAAAAAGAGGAATCCGAGTACATTCATCTGCTTGGGAATACAAAGACGTGTTTGCATGGTCTTAGAAGAATATGACAGGGCTAGATCCTAAGGTTGCAGTACATCATCTTGTAGAAAGACATGGAGTTCGACCGATCAAACAACTTCAAAGATGATTTCGGCGAGAACTGATTCCTTAAATTGAAGCGAAATTCAATAAACTTATTGAAGTTGGATTCATACGCGAAGTTAAATACCTAACATGGATTGCGAACATTGTTCCTATAAAAAAGAAGAATAGACAATCATGAATCTGTGTTGACTTTCGGGATTTGAATCAAGCACGTCCGAAAGATGATTTTCCACTTTAAGAGTTGATGGTGGGTGCAACTACCGGGTATGAAGTCTTATCTTTCATAGACGGATTTTCTGGATACGACCAGATACGGGTAAACCCGAAACACGAGGAGCTTACATCATTCCGTATCCCTAAAGGCATATATTGTTACAAGGTTATACATTTTGGATTAAAATATACAGGGGCGATCTACTAACAGGTAAAGCAAAAAGATTTTCGATGACATGCTGCACTAAAACATGAAATGCTATGTAGATAATCTTGTCGTTAAAACAAAGAGACGTAATGATTATTTACAAGATTTAGGGGATGTTTTCAAAAGATTTCGAAGACACCAACTAAAGATGAATCCACTAAAGTATGCATTTGGTGTCACCTCTGGAAAATTTCTCGACTTTGTTGTTTGACGCCGAGATATTGAAATAGATCAATCGAAAATTGATGCTATAATCAATATGCCAGAACTGAGAAATGTGTATGAGTTGAAAAGTTTTCAATGAAAACTTGCATACATTCGAAGATTTATCTTTAATCTTGTCAGACGTTGTCATCCATTCAACAAATTGGTAAAGAAAGATGTACCATTTGAATGGGACGATACTTATTAAAATGCTTTCCAAAGTATTAAGCAATATTTGTCTTGTCCATCGATACTAGGGATGGCAATCGAGTTTGTTGGTTTAGGTCACCCGTGGCTTGACTCTGAAAAAGCTCGAGCCCATCTGGCTCGAGCTTGGGCTAAGCCCTATTTTGGGGTACTGGGCAGAGCCCGAGCCAGCCCCTTTGGCTCGCCGGCTCACAAGCTTATATTTAAAAAAAATATTTTAAAGGCAGCAACGCGCTGCCTATTTTAGGCAGTGGGTTGCTGTCTTGTTTAAGGTAACTTAAGGCAGCAACTTGCTGCCTTAAAAAAAGACAACAGAGGCTGCCTTCTTTATATATAAACCAAAACCAAGTTTGCCCGACTCGGCTCTAAAAGCTCGGGTCGAGCCTAATTTTTTTGCCCAAAAAAAAACTCAATCATTTTACTCAAGTCGAGCTCGAGCTTTGCCTTAAAAAAGGCTGCCTTCTTTATATATATATGAAAATACCAAAATCGAGTTTACTCGGCTCGGGTCGAGCCTAATTTTTTTGACCTAAAAAAGCTTGATCATTTTACTTGAGTCGAGCTTGAGCTTTGAATTTCAGCTCGCAAGTCGGCTCGGCTCGACTCGTTGACATTCCTAACCGGTACTTACAGCTCCAGTCTCGGGGAAGCCAATGACTCTTTATATTGCAGCACAAGAATATTCTTTAGGAGCTCTTCTTGTCTAAATAAACGATGAAAGAAAAGAGAATGCGCTCTATTATTTGAGCCGGACGCTGGTAGGCGCTGAAATGAAGTATTCACCTATTGAAAAAATATGTCTCGCGTTAATCTTTACTGTTAAAAAATTGAGACGTTATATGCCATCACACACAATCAATCTTATTTCAAAGATTCATCCATTAAAGTACATAATGTCCAGTTCGATTCTTTCTGGAAGGATTGGAAAATGGGCATTACTATTGTCTGAGTTCGATATCAAATTTATTCCATAAAAAGCCATTAATGGACAAGTTTTGGCATATTTCTTTGTCGATCATTTAATTCCAGTTGAATGGAAACTTCATGAAGACCTTCTCGATAAAAAAGTTCTAGTTACTGAAATCATACCATCATGGAGGCTATATTTCGATGGATAGCTCGAAGTTATGGTGCCGGAGTAGGAGTGGTCTTTGTCACTCCTCATGATCTCGTCATGCCTTATTCTTTTGTCTTAACAAAGTAATGTTCAAATAACGTGGTAGAATATCAAACTCTTATCATTGGCTTAGAGACAACGTTAGATATGAATATCCACTAGTTAGAAGTCTTTGGAGATTCTAAATTGACAATCAACTAGTTTTTAGTCAAGTATGAAGTCCGTAATTCAGACTTGAAACCGTATCATGAATATACGTCAATGCTTATAAGACGATTTGATTCGATAAAAATCAAATTCGTCCTAAGGAGTGAAAATAGGAAAGCTGATGCCTTAGCTAATTTGGCCGCTGTTTTAGATAGGCCGGATGAATATTTTTCCCACTCTATTTCAATTGCCCAGAGATGGGTACTTCTTTCGTTGCTACCCAGTAATTTGGAAAAGAACAATAGTGTCGCAGGTAGTCGAAGATGAGAAAATTGAAGATTGGAGACAACCAATAATCGATTTCCTTCAACATTAAAGCTACCAAATAATCCACTACGAAAAACTAAAATCAAGAAATGTGCCTCCCGCTTTGTCTTTTATAAGGGAACACTTTATCAACGATCATTTGACTGAGTTTTCCTTCGATACTTAAGCAATGATGAAGCAACACATGTCGTGGAAGAAACCCACTCTGGAATTTGTAGTGTCCATCAGTCTGGATCCAAACTCCATTTTTGAATAAAGCGGATGGGGTATTACTGGCCAACTATAGTACAAGCCTATGAATTATATAAGAAAATGCAAAGCTTGCCAATTTCATCCATCAACCTTCGGAACCATTACATCCAACAATAGTTTCATGGCCGTTCGATGCATGGAGTCTTGATGTAATTGGATATATAACTTCAAAGTTTTCAACAGGGCATGCATACATCCTCGTTGAGACCAAGTACTTCTCTAAGTGGGCTGAAACCATGCCATTGAAGAAAGTAAAGAAAGAAAATGTCACAGATTTCATTCGTATCCAAATCATTTATCGATATGACATCCTGTGACACATCATAACTGATAATGGCAAACCATTCTACAATAGCCATAAAAATAATTTATATGCAAAGTTTGGATTCAAATAGTACAACTCGTCCATGCACAATGCAATAGCTAACAGATTGACAAAGATGTTCAACAAAATACCATACAGTTTGCTAAAAAAAGTTGTCTCCAAATCAAAAAAGAGATTGGCGTGAGAGAATTGGTGAAATCTTATGGGCTTATCGAACTACTTATTGGACTCCAACACATGTCACTCCTTATGCTTTAGTGTATGAGAGCTATACTTCATCTGGACTATCAAATCCTATCGTTTTGAATTGTCATCTAAGAAGGTTTGACATTTGAAAAAAAGCCCGTCTTCGATTGGAAGAGCTAGAAGTTTTGTATGAGAAGAGGTTAGAAGCACAAAATGCACTTGGAGCGCTATCAAACTCGAATGACGAAGTCCTTCACCAAAAAGGTACGATCAAGATCATTTAAAGTTGGAGATCTGGTACTTTTCGTGGGTAGGCCGATCATACTCACAAGAAAAACATGGGGCAAGTCCAGCCTAAATGGGATGGTCAATTTCTTGTTATTCATGTATTCACTAATGGAGCATACAAGATCGTCGACTAAGATGTACTGCAAATCGAGCCTATCAATGAAAATTTTTTAAAGCATTTTTATGCCTAAAATTCTTTATTTTTTTAAAAAAAATTCATTGAAAGCAAGAACATTGTGTTCTTGTAATGAACTATATTCGACTTGATCCCATTTGGGTAGTAGGTAGCTTGAATAAGTTATAAATTCAAATTCAGTCACAACAAATAAATTCATTCAATTTGTTTACCACTTTCTGTAATAAAAATATGAAAAAGAAACGTTCATCCAAAAAAATAGCAAGGCAAAATTCATACAATATGGTCTTAAAAAAAGATAAAAAATTCTTAACTTCATGAGGATCACTCTTCATTGATCACTTGTAGGAAACTATATTCAAAAGTCTTCATTTTCTGATCAATGAATGCTACGCCGGTGACATCTCTTATTGTGATTCTTCCAACGTTGCCTTCGCAATTCCAAACACTCTTTTGTTCCTAATGGGCTTGAAGTTCATCATGGAATCTGTCTAACTCAAATGTTAGCTAACTAATTTTGCCTTCCACTGAAGAACACGTGGAATCCTCTACTTCCAGCTGAATGTTCAAAAATTTCAACAGTTCAGCCTTTTCTTCAACGGTTGGACAACCTAAGTGTCGCTTTATTTTAGATAAGTAAGAGTCAACTTTTTTAAAAACACATACATTCACTTCATCAAAGGTGCTAGGTCTGCGTGGAATGAGCTAGTAATCACGTTTTGAAGAATTAAATTATTTTCATCCCACCAAAATCGAATATTGAAAATTCCATGCTTCAAAACATCCTTAAAACGAGTGAATAGCTCAAATGGTCACTAAACTTTGCACCAGGTCCGCAAAAGGTCACTGAACTTTCAAAATCGTCTCACTCATCACTGAACTTTGCATTTTGTAATCTCATTAGTCACTCAGCTAACGGTCCATCCAAAAACTAACCGAATACTCATGTGGCTGGCAGAATAACTCTTGTCCACATGAGCATAAACACCTCGAACAAAATAAGTTGTCGCCCAAGTATAAAGAAAATGTCCAAGAAATGAATGTGAAATTGAGTCAAGGTCTGGGTTTGTCTGATAGTTGGATGTTTGTGTAAGTCTTCTATAAATGCTCGTTAGTATGGGTGGAACCGGACTATAAGTGTACCCGCCTACCACCCTAGAAGATGCTTTAAAAGTCCCAACTCTTATACATTTGTCTCCAAATGGAAGAACAAAACAACAAAGCCACAGGGAGAGATAAGCCACTATCTTTAATTCCTCTTCTTCTTCCATAAATAGAGATATTGACAAATTGCTCTAATGACATCTATCTCTACGAGTAATGTCTCTCAGCTTGTCTACCACCAGGGCCTTCGTATTTCTTTCGATGCTCTTTAATGACGCCTCTTGAATGGATTTAAATTCATAGCATTCTTATAATTTTTGTGTTGTTGAGAATTCTAAACTCAATCATTCTCATGAAACCAAAAATCAATCAAATCTACATGAGCAAACCAATCAGATTCATTTGCATTGGCAATCAATGCGAAAACATTAAAGAGGTAAGACAAGACTTGGGAAGATGATTTGTCAACTCTGAATTTCTCATGGTAATGACCCATGATCGAAAGCTCACTTATCTCGCGGATGTCCCAATGAGAAATGCCAATTTCACCATTGGCAGTCAGAAAGGTAGTATTCTCTAGACACCAAACCTCACAAAGAGCTCTATAAATAGAGTTTGGGAGATGGTAGTCTTTTGTAGCAAAACCAATTGCAAAAGCTAACTCATGAAAATTTATCTTGAGTAGAAGTTTTGGGACCATAAAGATCACTTCTAAAATTTTGGAAGAAAAGAAATCTCTCATCAACTGGTCAGTGCGCTTCTCCATCGTATTTCTTTATTGTCAATCCTCTCACAAAGTACAGCCTTTGGGATGCACTCCATGCTTTGGGAATGATGAGGCAGAAGATACAAAAAGGGAAGATGACTACAAGAGTGGTTGGACTTGCCAGTATCCAAAATTTCGTGACATTCACTAATGGTAGGCATATACAACTCTGACAATGGCTCCAAGAGGTTAGGAGAAGGATTTGTCGTTGGATTACGGATGCTAAATATAAGTTCACATCGTAGGCTAGTCTAGGCACGGTACTTTACATCAGTATCTTCGAAACGCAGATAACTTTTACCTTGACTTTTGAGCTCAATAATTTCATGTATGTCAGAGTACACTTTATCATTAGAACTTGTTGCAGCCATACCAAAAAAAAAAAAAAAAAAAAAAAAATTAGCACAAAAAATGAGGAGTAAATCTTTTAAGTTCGTTTATTGTCTAAAATTACGAGCCTCCAAAACATGTAAAGGGCCTAACCTAAAGTGCCTTGGACAGTCGAATGAGCCAATCCTTAGTCCCAAACATAAAGTGCCTTGGATGGTTGAAGAAACAAGTCTATGGTCCCAAACACAATGTGCCTTGAACGGTCGAAGGAACATGTCCTTGGTCCCAAACACAAAATGCCTTGGACGGTCGAAGGAACATGTCCTTGGTCTCAAACACAAAGCGTATTGGATGGTCGAAGGAACAAGTTATTGGTCCTTAACACAAAGTGCTTTGGACGGTCGAAGGAAAATGTCATTGGTCCTCAACATAAAGTGCCTTGAACGGTCGAAGGAGCGCGTACTTGGTCTTCAACACAAAGTGCCTTGGACGGTCGAAAGAGCGGGTCTTTGATCCTTAACACAAAGTGCCTTGGATGATCAAAGGAACATGTCCTTGGTCCCAAACAAAAAGTGTATTGGATGGTGAAAAGTAACAGTCTTTGCTCCTCAGTGTGTGCGAAAAAGTTTGCAATTTTGAGCCTGTTTATAAACATATATTTCTTGAACTAATAAAATAATTGCGGCACAAAAATTTAACCTTTACACAAAAAAATCTTGAACCTCAAAATTTTTGATTTCGCTCGAAAAAGTTGAATCTCTGAAAAAAAAATGAAGAATGTTAGTTTCAATTTTGTTAAAACAACAATACTAAAAAAATGATAAAATTAATCAACAAAATAAAAGGGGGTAAAAAAAAAAAAAACTAAAGATAAAAAAATGGTTATGTGTAAAAGAAGAAGAATAAAAAAAATGGTTACGTGTAAAAGAAGAAAAGAAGAAGAATAAAAGAAATCGAAAAAAAGAGAGAGAAAGAAATTGAAGAAAATAATAATAATAATAATAATAATAATAA